GATTATAGTTCTAATTAAAGATGTTTCCAATCTAATTTGGTCTGAGCTGCTTAAATAATCCTACTCTTCATTCATCTTTAGTTGTCCACTTTGCCAAATTGACATATACCAAAAGAATCTTTTAACAACAACAACCTAGTTGAATCCCACTACAGTAGGGTCTGGGGAGGGTGTGTGTACGCAGACCTTGCCCCTACTCGGAAGTAGGGAGGCTGTTTCCAAGAGACCCCCAGCTCAACCTGCACAAGAATATGAAAGGGAACACAGTATAACACGGATAAAGCACCAATTACAATGAAATGAAAGTCCTGCAAGCAATAGCAAAAGATTCCAATCAAACACAATACACTACAAAACAACCTCTACAGCACCGAGCTCCTATCCAGCTACTCTAATCCTAGTTCTCCAAAGATTCCTATCTAAGGCCATATCCTCAGTCAGGGTGAGAAGTCCTAAATCCTGGCTAATCACCTCCTTCCAATTCTTCCTAGGTCTACCCCTTCCCCCGATAACCGTAATCCTCTCGCATCTCCGTACAGGAGCATTAGCATCCCGCCGTCTCACGTGACCAAACCATCTCAACCTCGCTTCCCGCAACTTATCTTCCACCGGCGCCATGCCTACCTGACGTCAGATAACTTTGTTCGAAATTCTATCCAACCCTGTCTTCCCACACATCCATCGTAACATCCGCATCTCCGCCGCATGCAGACGACGCACATGAGTCTTCTTAACCGCCCAACACTACTCTGCCCCATATAACATAGCAGGTCTGACTACGGATCGGTAGAACTTACCTTTCATCCTGGGCGAAATCTTCGGATCACACAACACTCCTGAAGCTAACCGCCATTTGACCCAAGCCACTCCAACACGATGTCCAACATCCCCGTCTAACTCCCCACTCCCCGGCCATCAGCCTGGATTACCGAGCTAAGATATCGAAATCTGCCTACCTTAGGTACTAGGTGAGAATCAATCATAACTTCCACTTCTGATTCTGTTTCCCGGCCGCTGAACTTATTATTGTAGGAAAAAATACTAAAATAAGAGTAAAATATTAAAAATATACCAAAATAGGACTTCCATGTTTTTCTTCCCGAAACAGGAGTTAAAATACATTTACATTATCAAACATGGTCATGTACATTACCAAAAAGTATAGTAATGTGCATATCTACAGTGCTACATTACAACCACAATACCACAGTGCAAATCCTATTGCGAGAATAAAAACATAAATTCTTATTTTGGTACTTTATTCTATGTTTTAGTTTTATTTAGGATAATTTCTAATTATTGTAATATTTTATCAACATGCCAAATTGACATATACCAAAACAATATTTTAAATGACCTTATTATTAATTTAAGTCAAGAATGATAATATTTTCCCAACTATTCGGAGGTCAAGATGTAAACGACCTTTCTATCTGTAAAAATCAACAAAATCGTTGTTTTTCTTAAGTAAGAAGGGAGTAATGTGTCGCATTTATGTCTGGTTATAATAAAATTGACCCTGCGATTTCAGAAAGCTTTAAAACGAAAAAAGAAAGGATCATGCTACACTTACACCAAAAATTGTATCCCAAAGTTATATCAAAGTATACACTAACATTTTTATTGTTCACACTGACACAAAATACTGATGCGTTAATAAAAAAATTATACTAACGTTTTGTGTCTGCTATCATCCTAACATTACACTGGCATAAAATGAAGTGTAAACCTAATCTTGGGGTACACATAGCTTAATCCCAAAAGAAATTAAAGGCTAATAATAAACGAGTACGTGTTGTCAAACCGGCCGTATTCTAATGTTCTTTTTCAAATCCTTAATTGCAGCACTCGAGTATGGTAATGGCAGGGATGATTGGTGTCGCAGTTGTGCTAGCTATGGTTCCATTCAAATTTATCCTAATGGGACTTGTATTATCTATCTTCATATCATATTCAGAGGTCGGGAAAAGCAAGCAAAGCGACTGCGGAAACCGGCGGCTCAAGGAATGGTGGGATTCCATACCGGTTGCTGCTGTTGAACTAGTGGATGAGACGGCTGCCGATAGTGTATCTACTATAAAAGCAAATGTGTGATATATATATATATATATGTATATATATATATACATATATACATACATACATATATATATATATATATAACTCTTAACTTTAAGAATTTGACATCTGACTCTTTAAAAAAATGACAAGTGACTCTTTAAAACCTTGACATGTGGGATATCTATGTGACATTAGTCTTTGACAAATTCTCATTTATTTAGGTAAGACAATCACAAAAACAAAAAAAGATTCTTAGAAATTTATGAAAGGCAATGAATTACAAGTTAAGTAAATATTTAATATACTTAAATAAATCTTTAATATTTACTCGAAAAATTTCAATATAATGTGAGTTTAATAATTTAATATACTACAATTAACTTCACATTGGATTAAATTAAACTTTTATTTTAAATTTGTTAAAAATAAAATTATTAAACTTTTAATAAATTTTTTATATATAAAAATGGCTCTTATCTTTAGAAATTTGACATATGTATTTATTTTGTGTCTTATTTCACCTAATTTAAATTATGAAATTAAAATATGAAATAAATATTTTAGGATGAAATGTTTGAATAAATTTAAAATTTTAAATATGAAATCGAGATTTTTGTTTTTATAATAACACTCTTTTCTAATTCAGTAGTTTTCTCTCTTTATTTATATCAAAGCTTTCAATTGATTAATACATTACTCTTTCACCTTGAAAAAAATTCATATGAGTATTTGTTTAGAATATGTTAAAATAAAGTTTGTTTTGACTCTATTTATTTCAATAATGACAAAAAATTAAAAACAAAGAATATATTTTTAAAACTACACTAAAAAAATTAAAAAATAAAAGATGATAGGGTTATAAGTCTTAAAGTAAAAAACAAAATGTATGCAATTTGGTAGTTTAAATATATTGGTTTTATGATTTGAATTAATGACTATAAAATTTATGATTTATACATTTTAGACTATTTATAGTTTAGAATATATGAAATAAATATTTTAGGATAAAATATTTGAGTAAATTTAATTAAAAAATAGAGATCTTTGTTTTTAATAATATTCTTTCATAATTCAACTATTTTTTCTCTCTTCATTTATAACAAAACTTTAAATTAATAAATATGTTACTATATTCACCTTTAAATAAATTTCATATGAGTATTTGCTTAGGATAAGTTAAAACAAAGTTAGTTTTTAATCTATTTATTTCAATATTGATATACATTTAAAAACAAACAATATATTTTTAAAACTACATAAAGAAATTTAAAAAACAAGATAAGATTGAGTTATAATAGTTTTAAAGTAGAAAAATACTATTCATAATATGTTTGTTGAATATATTAATTTTATAATTTGATTCAATGACTAGAAAGGTTGTGATTTATATGTTTTAGACGATTTACAATTTAAATTTAAAAATATATTATTTTTAATTATCTATTAGCAAATGATACTTTAAGTAAATTATATAATATAATTAATCAAAAAAATGTGTCACCATAATATGCTATGTTTACACTAACATTCTTTATAATTTCAACATGATTGAATAAATTTGAATATGGAATATAAATCTTTCATTTATAATAAACTTTCAATGAATAAATAAGATTTATTTCATTAAAAAAATACTCTCTTAAGCTCCAAATAAATTTTATATTTATTTATGATACGATTATTAAATGAAGTTAGTTTTTTATGTAAAAATAAATAATACTCCAGTATATTTTTAATCTCTAGATTAATATTCTATAAAATAAAATAGGCCTAGACTATTGTTTTAATTGATTACCTAAAAGAATTATATCTATGTAGAAATATAATAAACCTAGATCATTTATGTATATAAAATTTAAATGGTATATAACACAGAAAAATCAAGTTGTTTTAATATTTGATATTGTACAATCGAAAATAATTTTGTCCAACCCGTGCATGGCACGAGTTAAAATACTAGTTTGTTTTAAATATCAGACATGTCACGTAATGCATGTAATCAAACCTATTTTCTTTCATGATTGACATTTTATTTTCATTGCAACTCCTATTTTTGGAATAAAGACATAGAACTCTTATTTTTGTAAATTTTTTTAATGTTTTACTCCTACTTTAGTCTTTTCCTCTAAACTATTTAAACTTTCAATTTTTTTATAAAAATTTGTAAAATGAAAAACAAAGTTACGTTTTTTTGAAATAAATAAAATGTGATGGGAAATATTATTTGGCCCTGACATCTCAATCTGAATTTTCCAATTAATATTACCATAATTATATGGGAGAAATACCAAAATAGCACTTTAATAGCACTTTAATACTCAAAATAGCAGTTCTATTAGTTTTTGAGATGAATTCCCATTTTTGTCCTTAAAAAAACACCTAAAATTGAATTATCCTAATTAGGTTAAGAAAAAGTTTTTAGCGGCCAAACGCAGCAGCCGAACGCAATATTACAGAAGCCTCACGACCGAACGCGATATTTCTCGGACGATTCCTCAAAAGTCACACGGCCGAACGCAGCATCTTCAGGAAGGAGACCCAGGGTTTCAATGGCAACCCAGGGTTTCTATAATATTGCGTTCGGCTGCTGCGTTTTGGCTACTGCGTTTGGCCGCTAAAAACTTTTTCTTAACCGAATTGGGATAATTCAATTTTAGGTGTTTATTTAAGGACAAAAATGGGAATTCATCCCTAAAACTAATAGCATTGCTATTTTGAGTATTAAAGTGCTATTAAAGTGCTATTTTTGTATTACTACACTTTAATTTTTTTGGTCAAACTATAACACTCTAACCATGATTAAAATATAGTTTAAAAAATTAAATTTTATAAAAATATTCATATGTCAAAAATATATTTTAAAATGAATCCAATTTTTCTAGATTTACATAATAACTAAATATATTTTTTCTATAATTTATGGTCAAACAGTTGTACAATTTGATCAAAAAAATTAAATTGTGACAATGTTTTTGGAGTGGAGGGAGTTAGATTATGATGTACTCCATTCATCCAAAAAAAACTTTTCCTATTTAAGAAAAGGCACACCTTAAAAAATGTAATTTTGTGTTACTTTCTAATTATGACTTATCTATCATACACATCATGACAAATTCTTCTATGGACCTTAGGCCCACACTTATTTCATTGACCTTAACACATAAACAACTAAAAAGAATTGGGATTTTACCAAAAAAAATAATTACTTCTAAGTCAATGAAAAGTTTGAGAAAGTCCACACATTTTTATGTGGACTTTAGGATCACATAAGCACGACTCGCACATCATATCCTATCATATTTTAAAGTAAAGATAAAATTAGAAAATAATCCAAAATTATATATTATTATGGTGCATCTTTTTTCAAAAAAGATTTTAAGGATCGGAGGTAGAATCTTATATGCAAACCAAAATTTAGAGTCTGCTCTTTAGAGCTTAAACTCTTAACTTCTAATTCATTCTAGTTTCTTCCAATTTTCTAGTTTTTTCCAGTTCTTCCATGTTTCTTTCAGTTCTTTCTAGTTTCTTCCAACTATTCTTATTTTTTCTTCAAACTTTTTCTACCCCCAACCACTTACTCTAAAAGTTATATACTTTTAATATGATGATGATTATTATTATTACAAATATTATGTTCATAAATATAGTTTATAAATAATTTCATTTTTTCACCTCACTATTTTTAGAATTCACACTCATTATTATTTTTTCTTCAACTTATAATATGAATAATACAATTTTTTGTGTATTAATCTACATGATAAAATAGGAAAACATCAATATTTTAAACTATATTAAAATATTATTTATAAAATAGTTACATAAAAAATAAAGAAGGAAAAGGAAAACACTCAGCAAAAAAATGTTGGGAAACGAAAAAGGAGCGAAAAAAAAGACGTCTCACATTTCCCTTTATTACTCAATTTTTTCTCATTTTAATGGTGTTAATTGTTTCGAACGGTTTTATCATTTTTACTTTGTCTAAATGATAAACGAGTCTAACAATCACCAAAAATATGAACAAACTATTTTAGACTTGGAAACTCAAATCGGGAGAAAATCAATGGCCTTTTCCAGAGGTACGATGCAAATGGAGAGATTTTATTAATATCGGGATTAGTACATAGTACATAATCTTGGCATTATAGCCATTGATGGAGCATTTTAGCTCTATAAAGAATAAATAATACAAGGAGTATTTTCTATGTAATGTGAGAGAGTATAGTTACATGGTAGTGCATGAGAAAATACAGAAATTGGGTGCCCCACATACTGAAGGTGGAGGGCTTATTTTATAGTGAGAGATGAGGGAGTAACTATGGAGATATATATGGTAGGGAGTGAATGGTGGGAGTAGTTATGGTAGGGAGTGATGGGTGGAAGTAGTTATGGTAATGAGTGAATGGTGGATGTAATTAAGGAAAATGAGTTGACTATGAGGATAGTTATGGTAGGAGGAGTAATTTGTAACTAGTGTTTGGTGATGATATATAATTATTGAAATCACCCCCATGGCACTCTAAGTCACCATACATTGCGCATCTAGCACTACTCATTGTTTTATACAAACTTAGCAATTTATGGTGTCAATCCTTTCCTATCATACCCTTTACCCCGTTTTCTTTTTTTTAATTAAAAATTACGGCATTAACTCCAACCTCTCCATCCACTCGCCCGCACGATCTCTTTCAGTTCGCCCGCCATCATGCGTCCTCAGGCCTTCTCCCACGATTCCTTGGCCGATCAGCAGCGGCAATCATCAGGTTCCCTCCCATGCTTCCTTCTTCGATGTCGCTAATCATCTTCTCTTCTCCTTCAATTTTTAATTTTCATTCCTTCATCCCTTTATTCGGATTTCCATGTATTTTTAGTTTTAATTATTGTGTTTTCTTCGTATTGAAGATTAGGTGTTGTGAAATCAATTTTGAAATACCAAGTATTTGTCCCTTTTGAAAAATTAGGTATTTTGAAAGGCATTGTGATTTTGGCAGTGTCAAGATTAGGTGTTATGGTGTGGGCAGTGTGAAGATTAAATGCCTAAATTTTGTCCTGCATTTTTAGTTTTATTTATTTCCTATTTTTCTTCGCAGAGAATGTCTTAATTATGTCTAAGTAGTTAACATAATTCTATGTTCGAAGTGTGTAGTTCATTGAAGATTAACGTAGTGTAGTTCGAAGTGTGTTGTGCGATGTATATGTTTAATAAACTGAAGTTCGCAATGTGAAGTATAGGTGCAAAGTATAAGCGTTAGGAGACATGATTTTCAACCTCTTCACGTGTTTGACTGAAT